TAAAAACTGGCAATACCAAGTTTTGGTGAGGATGTGAAGCAAGTGAAACTGATCGTGGAAATATAAAATGATATAGCTGTTTGGCTGCAGCAGGAATCTGAACCTATACAATCTAGCTCCTGAGTCATGCTCTTAACTACTGCGATACACTGCTTTTTTATAATCTGATAGGTGAAAAATATATACACATATAGGTAAATTAGAACAGGTCACAAAAAAGGTAACATATCTAGGAAGGTACAAACATGAATGGGCTTTTAAATTTACATGTCACTGTGTTATGATATTGTCTTTTTGATACTTACAGGTTTAAGAAAACAGAATATGACAAGAAGAAATATTAGAAGATATGAAGTAGAAAAAAACAGGACACAGTTTCTTAAGCTTTGCCCTCAATATCAATGTCACTATTACTGTGACATTGTTTCACTTCATAAATTTATTTACCTTTTGCAATATGGTATATAATGGAAGTATTCTCAAAAATAGCATCTTTCAAATGTTGCTTTATTTATACATATAATTTTCAAAATTAAAGTGTTCAAATGAAATAGTCATCATGCTGACTTTTAAGGATTAGAGCAATCTGCCTGAGAAGATGTATAAACCACTGCACATCAACCTGGTAACAGTCCCAGTGATAACTGGATACCTGTGTTACACAACACATTTGTTCAGCTTGCCAAAGAACATGTGCACCTGTCTAGAGGGCTCAGAGACTGCACATTAGGAAGTTTTGTCATTTACACATTTTCAACATCAAGTTATATATTCTGCTGTGAACTGCATGTTTTAGAAAGTTATAGCCTGTGTATTAATTTGCTGTCTATTTAGGATTTCTAGAGAAATTATACCATTACTACAAAGATAGGCATAATGAATCAATACCAAGACCAAGTTCAAATGCAGTCCCTGTTTATCAGCACAGAAAATCTATACAAAATGTAGTTTTTGGAAACACACTTTCCTGTAACGGAGTAAAACCCAACCTTCCTAATAAATGTCATGCCTACTAATAATGACTACTGCAATAATTGAGAAATAACACTACCTTAAGAAGGACTCGACCAAGCAAATACATATTATTTCACCCATCTATCCCTAACATAACGTCTAACCCATGGACACAAAGTGTATTTCCATCAGATCCTTACGTAGAGATTCCCAGTTAGTCAGTCTCCCCGTGGTCTAGGGCCCAGGAGGCTGGAAACATTCCAGGCTGGAATGTAAGCTCCACGAGGGCAGGGATCTCTGATGATTTCATACTGCTGCGTTCCTCCTCCCTGGAACAGTAGCTAGCACATAGCAGGCATTCAGTGAATACTCTCTCAGTCGAAGGAAGAAGAATGCAGCAGTTGAAGCCAGGCTTTCTGAGTCCTGAAGTCCACTAATTTTTTTTTTCTACCAGACTTTAACAAAGAACATCCTGCTTTCTCACTGACGAATCTAAAAGAAACTTGCCTGCCAACAAAGGAGCTGAAGAGAAGGAAAGGAGTATTCCACAGGTATAGCACAAGATCATGGAGCTACCTGCAGCTAGACAGAGTAACCGATTTAAGCACATAGCAAGTGATAACAAATATTATATATGACGTTGCATGAAAATGCACGCCAAAGTGGATGGTTAACCATAACTATCTGCCAAAAGAGAAACGAAATTTTTCACTGTAAGGTACAATGTTTCAAAATACTGAAAAAACTTAAAAGATCTTGATTCTGTACTGGTTACCTACAAATACATATATTTTAGACACAAAATATAAACTTCACTTACTCAAGCTAGGAAAAAAGTTTTGGTTAAAAAAGATATTTTCATCCAAGACATGTATGTTTGAAATCTGTTGTTTCTCCTCTCCTAATGGAAACAAAATTAGACAGGTTTGTGCTCCGGGACGGGAGAAGGTCACTGTCCCAAAGCCAGCTCTGGACCTAGAAGCTAATAGGTTTCATTTCTATTTTTTTTCTGTGCATCACCACACAAATAATATTAATCACAACTAGATAGTTTCAGGAAGCAGCAAAACAGATAATGAAAAACGCCCAGGGGTCAAATCACCAATTACTATATGCTCTCACCACACTGCTATCTCTGATTATGCCAACAAATGAAATACCCCATTTCTAAACGCTGATATTGATGGAAATTAACATGTTACGATGGTGGTAATATCCTTCTTACTTATTAAATATTTTCTTAAATGCTACAAGCATTTGCAAACAGGGGACAGTGTTGTCTTTTGAACTCAGGTGAGCAATAAGTAGCTTGCTCACCCACTGATCCCGACCGTAAGGCAGCTTTTTGTTTCAATCATTTGGTCAACAGAACTGACACAATCTCCCTGTACTGTGGGGTGACAAAGACAAATCCTAGCAGGAGGTGAAAGCACAGAAAGCAGTTACAGCTGTTCTTCCTTCCACCTCTATTAACGCCCTCCATCAGAGAAATTCTGTGAGGGAATAACAGTTTGCGCCCAGTCTGTAAATCAAATGTGCAAAACAATTTCAAACATCCTCCTAAAAATAGTTTTCCAAGTCACTGAATTTAAACATCTTCATATTTTTTCACACTTCAGAATTGTTTTTCCTTTGTATAAACCAATATCATTTGTTTTTATTTCAGAAGGTTTCTGATTTTTATAGCATTGTAACAATTCTATTGTGAAATAGGTCTCTCCAAACACGAATTACAGATGATTTGGTTTTCCTATTCCAAATTTTCTTTTCAAAATTTTCAGCTCTTTGGACATAATTTTTATATATAGTCAGTTATGATGATGTCATAAAGCTGCTACAGAAAAAATGTTCTATAAAACGATGTTGACAAGGAATAATTTTACAGCTTAATAGTAAATGCTGAAGATAAAATTAAACCACAACTCTAAAACTTTGCTACTGATAGTGTAATTCTACTTTTGGAAGCTTTTCACAATATACTGATTTTAAATTAAAGGCCCTTTGTGGGCATTCATGTCTGATGTATATTCCCTAAAATTCGGCAAATACTTATATCCAACAATTAAGAATAGCTCAGTAAAATATGGTAAATCCTTCAATAGAATATTCATGAAGAATTTAAAATGGTTAAAACCTCATGGAATAAACGCTCATGGAAAAATAAGGAGAAAAAATAATTAGGAGATTATAAGTAGTAAAATATGCAAAAGTTAAAAGTCTGAAGGGGATAAGTAAGGTGGTAATTATTGTTTTAAGGTGATGGAATTACGAATTTTCTGTCTATTCACTTTTTAAGCTATGTGTTCTTAAGTTATTTCTCCAATAGGAGCAAAATAAAATAAATCTAAAGAATTTTAAAGGTAATAAAATGAGACTAGGTGGCAGAACAAAAAGGGTGCTAGATTAAATTTTTTTAAAAACCTATTTACCTACCACATCCATGGGCTTACATTACCCCTGAAAATCACCTTCACATTAACAACACTGTGCATCCTCCCTTACACCATCTTGAGAATCTCCCCCGCACCCTAACCAGCACTAAGCTCTCCACTGCACGCAGTGTGCAGTCCAGGAAAGTGTTACCATAATGCACACAGAGAAGAGGCTATTGTTCCTACTAAAGGAATTCTACTATTCTGGTAATTTAATTCCTTCAGATGAAATCTAATATGAATCCCAAGCTTTTACCACATTCTATCTCTAAAACAGAATTCTAACTAGTTTCCTATTTCCCTAACACAACAGGATTATGTTTATGGAGAAAGCTAGTCTGACACGAAAAGATAACTCAGGAGTTGATATTCATTTCATTCTTTAAACCAAGAGAAATCAAAATGTAAATAGACAAATGGTGAAAATAAACTAGAGTTCCCAAACATTCAGGTTTTGTTTATTTAACACAAGAATGTTTGTTCAAAGATTATTAAATTTGCTAGTGGGGCAAGGACATCACAGCAGAAAACAAGTTCATTACACTGAAAATACAATAGAAGAACCTGTCAACAGTACATCAAATAAGGAAAAATCTAATAAATCTCAATTGTGGTGCCAAGTATTCATATACAGTTTTTCTGTGCACATACAATATTTCTATATGTTTTAAGAACCAATAAAGCCTTTTGAAAGATCATTACTTTGCATACTTTCTACTTTCAGTAGAAAGGCGGGAAGGATGGTGAATCACCACCATGTGGTCAATGAAAAAAAAATATTACCTACAAATACCGACTGACTGCCAACTACCTCTGGGCATTCTGTGAACAGTGAAGGCCACAAAGAATAAGCGAGATAGTAGGTAGCAGTCTCCTGACTTCACAGAGCTGACTGCCCAACAGGGAAAAAAGCATGACAACAACAAGAACACACAGGAATACTCTGTCATTCAGTCAGTCAGTCACCCAACACTCAGAGTGCCTACTGTCTGTCAGGCATTGTGGGGAATGTTTAAGAGACACAGCGAGGGCTTCGAAAAAGACTGGAAAGCTGTCTTCGTGAAACTAATAATTTAAATAGAGAGGTAGGCTTTATTCAAAAAATCATGTTAAGTTAACCCTGAACTCGTAACTCTGTGAAATGCTGAGAGCAAATGACAGCTAAGCGCACGGTAAGCGAAGGGAACCCAGGGACAAGATTGTTGAGGGCTGCTCAGAGTGGTCAGAGAAGGCCCCCCAGAATGGGTAGTGCTGAAGCCGAGACCGGGGGTGGGGAGTCTGAGAAGCATAGCATTCTCATAAGGTACCAGGGATGACAAGTGGTTCAGTGGAGTGGGAAAATTATAATCAAAGGGCAAAAGACGGTACTGGACAGGCAGGCAAAGACCAGGTTTTTATTAAGAAACTTAAATCCCGTACTAAGACGGTTTTGTGCTAAGGTGAAAAAGTGACACAGACATGACAAAGCTTCGGCGGCACGAGGGCGAGTAAGCTGAGGACAGCCGTAAGTGTAGCCCCACTTGTAAACAGCGTAGAACTGGAAACTGAAATGTAGGGTTACCATGCGTCTCAACAATATAAGATTTCCCTTTTCCCCATCAGGCACAGGCTTACCCCTAGGACACTCAGGCCTTTCAGGTAGTCCTGACGAGGCTGGGCTTGAGGAACACAGCCAGCGAGCACTAATTTCTTGTTTTCCTCTTGCGCTTTTCTAAAAGATGAAAGAGAAAACAGTGTGAATTCTTTTGCGCACAAGTGTACCCGTGGAAACTTATGTTAGTGTATATAAGTTCTCTAAATAATAACAAGCCCATCTAGCATGAAACTAGATTTTCTTACAACTGCTGAAAAAAAAAAACATTACAGTAAGACTTCTGAATTATGTGTCTATTTATCATACTATACGATGATATGGTATAGGAAGTATGCAGAGAATGATTGAATGAATGAATGAATGGGCAGAATATAAATAGTATTTTAACAGTAACTGTGTTTCATTTCAATAACTTCTTAAGAGTACTTTGGTATAATTTTTCTACTTGGAATCCTGAAAAAACTTATTAACCGAATCCAAAAAATCTGACTTTCTACGTTGCCTGACATATCCAAGAGAACAACTGCCTGCCCTGGCCCCCGGTTTTACTTTTTTATCAGCACCAAGCACAATGTTGCATACAAATAGTTTTCTTGTAATAAGTGTGAAATTCCTTATCAAATGAAAAACTCCTTTCAGTTACATTAATAATCTATCCAAGGAAGTAACATCTGGCTTCCTCAAGAACTGCAGCCATAACACCTAAAATCACTGCCAAACATCCACGAGAATCTGTGAGGTCACCAATAATTAAATCCATAAAATGCCTGCTTCCTATAATGTGATTCAATTACTTAATTATTAAGCACAGCTAAGACACAATAGTGAGTGTTTAAGAGAACAGAATAAAGAGAAAGACAGGTATGTGCCTTGCACTCAACAAACTTGTGGTTTATAATGGATGAGATGTAAAAGGACATTAAAAAAAAAATACAGCATCAAGTAAAACGCCCTTAGTGGCAGAAAGATGTACAGGTAAAGTATCATGGAGGAAAAAAATATGCATCTAAGAAAAGACAGGAAAAAGCTTCACGCACACACAAAAAAGATAAGGTTAAAAGGAAACAGGAGTTGGAGTGGGCGAAAATGGAGGCAGAGAAAAATCCAGACAGTTGTTACTACACCATGGACAAAGACAAGACGGAAGAAAGGGGGGGGGGGATTTCGTTATAGACAGAATTTAGAAGGAGGCTTTATAAGAATTTATAAAGGAGGATGATAGGGCATATATTGTAGAAGGAGTCTTAAGAAACAGGCTGGACAGTATTTAATTTAGTGGGCAATGAGGAAATCTCTTAAGTTTTGGTAGCAGAGTGGACATCAAGTGGAGCCAAGCTTTGAGAACATGACACTGGTGACAAGATATAAAATGAAACACAATTGGAAAAGGAGCCAAAAGGTGAGGGAATTAATACCCTTGGCAAAAGGATGTGAGGACCTGAATGCATGGGCAAGATAGGGAGAGAGGGGGAGAGAGGAGGAGAGAGGGGAGAGAGGGAGAGAGAGGGAGAGAGAGGGAGAGAGAGGTAATACCCTTGGCAAAAGGATGTGAGGACCTGAA